CTAGGTTTGGACGGTTCCCCAACCCCGGCAGGGGGAATGTGGCAGCATCTTCATCCAGTGTACATGCTCAGACCCTGTGACCAGCCAGCCATTCCTGGGGTTGTCCTCCGTAGAGGCCCAGAACAAGGGCTAGCAGCGCTAAAAGGCCATCACTGAGAAGCTTGTCTACAAGGACTGCGGACCCCTGGCTCCTCCCCATCCCTGTCAATCAGCAAGTGTTAGAGCTAGGCCATAGGCTGGAGGAGAGGCCAGAGCTGGGGCCTACTGGGGGATGTGTGCAGGAAGAGCAGGATCACAGGGGAGGCCTTCAGTGCAAGGTGGGCAGCCTTTGTCTGTCACCAGGTACCACAATGTAGCTTCCACTTGTGTGATGGTTAGTGTCGATTGTCAACTTAGTACAATCGAGAATCAACAAGGAAGAGAGTCTCCATCAGGAATGGTCTAGATTAATTTGATCTGTGGGCATGCCTGTGAGGGATTTTTTTTTATTTTGTTTTTTTTTGTTGTTGTTGTTTTTCGAGACAGGGTTTCTCTGTGTAGCTTTGCGCCTTTCCTGGAACTCACTTGGTAGTCCAGGCTGGCCTCGAACTCACAGAGATCTGCCTGGCTCTGCCTCCTGAGTGCTGGGATTAAAGGCGTGCGCCACCACCGCCCGGCTGGGATTTTTTTTTTTAATTGGGTTAATTGAGGTGGGAAGACTGTGGTGGTTTGAAGGAAAATGCCCCCCCCACACCCATAGGTCCATAGGGAGTGGTGCTATTGGGAGGTATGGCCTTGTTGGAGTAGGTGTGGCCTTGTTGGAGGAAGTATGTCACTATGGGGGCGGGCTTAGAAGTCTGCTATGCTCAAGCTACGCCCAGTGTGGTACAGTCTCCTGCTGCTGCCTGTGGATCTAGATGTAGAACTCTCAACTGTTTTTCCAGCACCATGTCTGCCTATATTGCCACCATGGCCCACCATGATGATAATGGACTAAACCTCTGAACTGTAAGCCAGCCCCAATTAAATGTTTTCATTTATAAGAGTTGCCAGGCCAGACGGTGGTGGTGCACACCTTTAATCCCAGCACTCGGGAGGCAGAGCCAGGCAGATCTCTGTGTGTTTGAGGCCAGCCCGGTCTACAGAGCGAGATCCAGGACAGGCACCAAAATTACACAGAGAAACGCTGTCTCGAAAAACAAAAACAAAAACAAAAAAAAGTTGTTGTGGTCATTGTGTCTCTTCACAGCAATAGAAACCCTAAGTAAGTATCGGGGACTATGGGGGTCCAGCCCCTCAGTAGTCCCCTCCCATGGTCCGGGAAGAATCTACAACCAGGATAATTAATCTTTGATGAAAATAAATGAATCTATGTACATGAAATTCCTTAGTCCATATACTTTATTATTCTGTATCAGTTACAAGCATATACTCTGCTCTCATATTTAGCTCCTTTCTTGCCCAACATCTCTCAACTTATTTGTTGTCCCCTTGAGGTTCTACCTTAATTCCTACATCTAGTTTTGTCCCTTCTAGGTTCTCAGCCATCTAGTTCTTTCCCATATCAGCTCCTCTCCCATCTCCTTCTCTCTCATCTTGTTCTTCCTCATCTTGTTCTTCCCCATCTGGCTCTTCCTCATCTTCCATCTCGTTCCTCTAGTCCTCTCTTTTAGCCCTTCAATCCAGTTCTTCCCCATCTCAGTTTGTTCCTCTCAACTTACCCATCTAGTTCTTCCATTCTCTTTTCTCTTCTCCATCCCCATGCCCTGGAAGTCCTGGTATATATACACTTACAAGGAGTAATCCCTTGGCAGTGCAAAGCCAGGCTTCCAGGGTCAAACGGAGGGGTGATAAGAATCACATAGGGAGGCAATAACCGTTAATTATCATTTGCCACCCCAAAGGGAAGTGACCAATGGGGAAATGAATTAACTAAAGGCTAAATTTAGGTAATATCTAAGAAGAGGGCTCTTATGTGCTCAACTATAGTCTTAAACGTGATTAGTAGAAAATGTTAAGAATCTATAAGTTGCTAGGTCAATGGGAGAAAATAAAACTGTCTTCTTTTTTCCTGTGGCTCCTATCTGTCCAAGCTATCTGCCATTTTTCTGCAGGGTGGGGGAAAGTGTGCTCAGTCACTAAGCAACCTGTGTACAGCTAGATGCCTCTGGTGATAGTTAAAGGGAGATCTGGAACTAGAGGTAAGGTTTGGGAAAGGAGGAAGTAAAGCTTAATTGGCACATCTGCCAGGCCTTCTCAAACAGGTAGTCTGGATGCTTAAGTCTGTTCTTAGAGAGTACAGAGGCATCTCTGATAAGGTACTTTCCTCCATCTGGGGATGGACCTGGCCGGATGCTGCAAGTGATGATAATTACAGGGAGGCTTGAACTGGGAGTTCTGGCTGAGCATAGCTGTCAGCGCAGAAGGTTATCTAAATATTCCTAGAAGTGGTTAGGTAAGGAGTTAGAGGTCTATAAAGTTAGTAAGGCTGTAAGAAGGAAGGGTCTGAGCTAAATTGTATAAAGTTATTACTTAATGTCTACCTGTCTACGGTGTCTCCTTGTGGAATTTATCTTAAACCAGGAGACTTGCATGTGGACTGTTATTACTGCTAGTCCTTGAAAGTGGCCAAAGGAGATATCTGATTCCAGAGAAAGCCTTTCCTGAGGCTGTTCTCCAAATACCTGGAATGTGTATGTCCAGAGAGTGATCAGTCCACACTGTTAGCCCTTCTTAGGGAAAAGTCAATTGGGAAAACTATGAAGGCACACATGATTTTCATAACAAAAGACAGCTGATATATAACAAGCCAAGTAACACCAAAAGCTCCTTGGAATTTGGCTTCCTCTGGAGGAAATCCTTGATCCCTCCAGGTAGTGCTTTGCCATAACCCGCTGAGTTCTTATGATATATTCCTGCGGCCCGCAGCAACTAAGACACAGACCTACCCTGAATGCGGGCAGCACCATTTCATGGGCTGGGTCCTGGAGGTGATAGGGAGCTGAGCACCAACATGCACGCCCTGATTACTGGCTTCTGACTGCAGATGTAAAGCAACCAGCTCACTCAAGCGTCTGCTGCTGTGAATTCCCAGAAACGAGGGGCTGGAACCTAGAGCCAAATAAACCCTTGCTCCCTTAAGTTGCTTCCATTGGGGAATTTTATATCACAACAGAATCAAAACTGATAGCCTCTCGGTGCAAAGGGCCCTCTCATGACCAGGTAGCATATCTGTAAGACCACCCCTCACCCTCCACTCCCTAGCGCAGGGCCACTGCCAGGCATGCCCCCTACAGCCAGATAACAAGAGCACTTCATGGTTCATGGACCAGTTAACCTTAGTGGACTCAAGTGTCTGGCAATGATAGGTGCCTCTTAGCCAAGGGGCTTCCACCTGCCCACCCCAGGTGTTATCTACCGTAACAATTTGCTACAGTAGGTAGGACCACCATGAGAAGACAGCGTTGCTCAGCTCTCAGCAAGGAAGCATGGCCCAAAAGGAAAATTTGTGCTGAGTATGGTGATACATGCCTTTAACCCCAGAACATGGGAAGCAGAGGCAGGTAGATCTCTGTGAATTTAAGGCTAGCCTGATCTACATAATGAGTTCCAGGACAACTAGGGCTACAAAGTGAGACCCTGTCTCAAAAAAGGGGGAGGGGAGGGTGAGATTTTGTGGAGCTCACAATTTATCTTGGACAAGCTGTGTGTTTCAGTTTCCCTTCAGTACAGGGAGATTCCCCACCTTCCTACTATGGGTTACTATGCATTGGGTGCAGGCAGAGGGTCCAACCTACCGATCTGAGCTAAAAACAAAAGAGGCAAGGTAGGGAGATAAGCAGTCCCCACACACGTCTACAAATGTATCCCTTGAGGGCCAGAGTCCTGTGAAAGTACTGACCAGTCCACCTATGGGCAAGGGAAGCTGAGTAGTTCAGCAGGCCAGGCCCAGAGTGCTGGAATAGGGCTATGGACAGGCATGATAACAGTAGCCCTAGCTCTAGCATGGGCTCTCGGGGCCACAGCACCCTGGATCAAAGATCAGGAAGCACTTAGGAGCCATTTAGAGGTGGGCTGGAGGACCTGAGTCCTGGACAGCTTCCTTAGTGCAGGGTCGTGGCCCAGAAAGCAGCCGCCGTGTCTTGTCTGAGCAGGCTGGGCTCTTCACATGGCTCAGCCATGTGCACCTGCCACCTCTTAGCCCTCTGTCACGCTGCCAAGCATCGCGGTTGCTATGGAAATGAAGATGTCACCTCGTTCCTCTCCCAGGACCTGCACAGCCTGTGCCAAGGACACAGTGTGAGCTTTACTAGGTCTCAGCTTCTTTGACGCCATCATTCCCCCAAGCTGACTGCACTGGCCCAGGACGCCCTGGCATCAGAGCCAAGCCCTGCAGCCTCAGAGAGAGCCCATCTGCCCTGGCTCCCTGAAGTGTGCTCCCTCATGACTCTGCCCTTACGACTATGTCACTCTGGTTCCGTGTCCTCAAGGATGCCCCCAGGACTGTCCTCCAGGACTCTACTTCCTGGGGGTGGGGTCACCCCATAGGACTGTATGTTCCAGGGCTATGCCTTTCCTAGCAAGTCTGCACAGCTAAGGAGAGACATGGGGGCCTCAGCAGCCATGTCCCTACCACTCCCCAGCCTCCACCCTGCTGCAAAATGGCGTCTCTCTGCACTTTCCTGGTGCTCACCCTGAGAGCCAGGGCTAGAGAACTGACCCACCGTCATCACCCAAGACCCAAGCATCTGACCTCTGGCATCATGTCCCTACCCCATGCCCATACTCCTGTGACACTATGTCTTCTCTTAATCTTTAATGTTGACAGTCTCTGCTTTAGAAAGACTCCTGCTCAGGCCCCAAAGTCCCAAAATTTGTAAATTTATCATGAAAGCAAATTCACATGCACCTCCTAGACCTCCTTTGCTTGACTCTGGCCTCACAGCACTGGTCCCTCTGTTTGTCCAGGACCCCTCTACCTGGTGTCTCTCCAGCTTCACCCATGGCTGCCAGAACCTTACCTCTGGGGTTGTCCGGGACACCTTGCTCCTGGTCTTAACCAAGTAAGTATGTGTGCAGCCTTGCCAGTGTCCATTTAGAAGAAGCAATCATGTCCTTTCTCTGGGACCTGCCAGCCCTGGGCTTGGATTCCCCTCAGGATCTTGCAATGCTGCAAAGTGTCGGCAGGTGGCATCACTGCACTGTCTGGGCCCTTCCTACTGGAGGCACAGGGAGGACCACCCAGGGTAGCTCAGCCTCCCCACCACCCTGGGATACCTAGAGATAGCGTTAATATGATCCTGGGGCACAGAAGGGAGAAAGGAGGCTGAGCAAATTTGCTGTTGCCTACTCTAAATCTCGTTTCTTAAAATGACCCAGCAGGACCCGAGAATCTAGCTTTCTCTATCCTCCCTGCCACACTCCAAAACCTCAGACTCAGGTAGACTGGCCACAGTCATAGTGTATGCATGGGACATCTTCCGTGGGGACTCTGACCTCAGTATCTAGTGTTTCTGCTCGGCTGGGATTGGGGGAAGTTCCTAGACAGAGGCTCCATCCCACCCTCAGACCAGAGGCACCAGCGAGGTCAAAACCAATGCCGGGGAGTGGGGATCAGCCTTGGACATGGGAGGCCAGGCCTGATGGGGGTCAGAGGACAAGTTAGGTGCTACCACCAGTCTGGTCACTGGAGCCATCAAACCTCCAGCCTCTCCCTCCTGCTCCATGGCTTCCCAGCCTAAGAAGCCAGGCTGTCCAGAGCTTCATGAAGGTCAGGACCAGGGAGTCTGCCTCCTGGGAATATGGAGGGGGTATGTGCCTGGCTACCATAGGCAGCTGAGTATAGGGGGTGCTGACGGTTATAAGGGAGCCCAGTGCAGTGTGAACAAGAGGTGCATGGGGAGGCTTCTAGGAGTGTGGTAACTCGACCTTTCTGCAAGAAGCCAGCAGAGAGTGCCCACCCCCTCCCTCTGCTGACTACACAAACTACTGGGCACTGGGCAGCAGAGAATCCTGTGTTAGGCAAGCCAGCCTGTGTGCCTCTGGGGATTGGCCCTGTGGGCTCTCTGAACTGAGTCTTCCTCCCAGCCCTAGGGTTCAGGCAGTTGTGGTAGCCACTGCCAGAGGGCCTGGGGAATCAGTGTTCTTGCGGGGCTGTCCCCTTCCCTGTGGCCGCATGGGGCTCGTGGATTTCTGCCAAGTGCTGCAGCTCATTGTATTGCTGCCATGCTGTGACAGGCAGCATAATATGCAGGTTCCAGCACACTCCCAGGTGTCACCTGCCAGCAGCTGGGTACCCAGGTGAATGTGGGTCAGATTCTGTTAAGTGTTAACTGTGCCTCTACTCTCTCGGGAGCTCCTCCTTGAGGGGTCCGGGTTCAAGCTCCGGATGGGCCACACCTCCCTAGGGGTCTGCACCCAGGTTCCCTGAGCACACCTGCTACATCACTGCACCCTCCTATGAGCACTTTGGGCAGCCTGTCACCCACGGGTACTGACTGGAAGTCAAAGTCAGATGTGAATATTTCATGGGTGGCAATATAAATAATGCACTTAAGCAGAAAGACAATGTGAATATTTTATACATGGAAGTGCAGTTGAATTTTAAAATCAGTCCACGTTATAGGCACAGCCTGCAGGTCATATCGGAGGCAGTGGTGGCCCGGGGCAATTCTCAGGCACAGGTCTGTGCTGAGGGTGTATATCTGCACTTACTGCTCTCCCAGGGTTACAATTCGGTCCCTATCTGCTGCCCCTGCCTCTCACCCACCCTCCTGACTCCACTGTCCTTTAAGGCCCACAGGACCTGCATTCTGGTGTTCCATGTATTTGGGGCCTCAGCAGCTGACCCTCTGAATTGAGATGGTTCCTCCCAGTCATTATAGGCAGGACCCAGAGAAGGCAATAGAACGCCCTCCATCAACATTCTGGGGTCCCCTGCTCTAGGAGGCGCAGATGGAGGCTTGAGTCCCAGAAGACAAAGCAAACACTCCAGGGCCCCCAGCCCACTATCTCCTGGTTTCTGCTTCATTTTTTTTCTCCTAAATAGATTATTTCTTTTTGTATTTTCAGATTTTTTAATAGTGTACATTTTATCTTATTAATATCTATAATAAAACCCAAGACAAAACCCTAAATACCAGAAGAACTTGGGCAAGGCTTAGGGCAGGCAGCCCTTTCCAGTTGGAGTGGAGCCTGGAGGGAGATGTGGGGCCACATCTGGGAAGGGGCCTCATTCTGCTTCTCTCAGGAGATCCTTCTTTTGTTTAGAAACCCCACTTACTAATATAATCTTTAAATTAGAGCAGCTATGGCTTTCCTTGCAGTATTTGAGGGCTCTTTAGACTGGTGTCTGGGGACTGGCTTCCCTAATCCCCGCCTCCCTCAACCACCACCACCCTATCCCTTAGAGAGGGAGTCAATGTTGCTTATACTGTATTTTAATTAGGATTTTTGACAGGCAATTTGTTTCCTGCCTCTGCCTGAGCAGGCCCTTAGCCTTCACAGGCTGCTCCTCCTCCATAATCTAAAGAGCCTTGGGAGCTCTTCCAAAACAATCTGGGGTCCTGGGGATGGGTGGAAGGGTGCCAGGTGGGCCTCCCCAACTTCCCCAGGTTGGGAAGCAAGAGTGGTCTTAGATACTGCAGCCTCCTCAGGCTGCATTCCTGAAAGCCAGACTAAGGCCACCTGTTCACACAGGCCCAAACCGGCTTTTCCAGCTGCTCACTAGGCAGCCTCACCAGGTTCTGGCCTCTGGCCTCTGGTGTGTGGGAGGCCCAGGAGACAGTTGCTGTGGGGCCTGGGGCTGGCCTTGGAGAGAGACTGGAAATATGCTTCTTGTCTGAGGTTTGGGTAAGAACAGGAACCTCCAAACCCTCCAAGCCTGGGCCTTCCAGGGCCAGAGAGGGAAATGTTGATTCAGAAGGGAGGGGGGAGAAGGGGTGGAGGAGGGCAGGGAGGGGATGGGAGGAGTGCAGGGCTGGCACTCGCCAAGGCTGCTGACACTAAGCCTCTGCCTCTCCTATCTCCTGCCGGGAAAGCTGCCAGAGGGGTAGAACCCAGTGGCCCATGCTAATGCTACAGCCAGTCCCTGCCCCAGGCACCCAGAAGCTCGGGCCTAACCCTGTCTCTGCACGGTGACACACACGATGAAGTAGGGCACAGCCAAGTCCCTCTGTGCCCTGTGGTGGTCCCACTTGTTATCCCTGAGCCTTCAGGATCTGGGACACGTGTTGGACCACTCTGAGGGCCACTCTGGCCAGCACCACTCAGGATGGGGTAGTAGCTGGATTCCAGGCCTGGGAACAGCCCCATACCGCCAGGAGGGCCTCTGCAATTAGTTCCCGGGCCTGCCCGTCACTCTGGCAAAAAATGCTAGAGAAATACTAGAGTAGGTCTCACTGGCCCCTGGTTCCAAGCCCAGGTGGGTCTTTCAAGAGGTGTAGCCTGGGGGATTTCCACAGTGAGATCCCAAAGCCAGGCTGTGCTCCCGAGTGGCTGCTACTCAGGGCAGAGCTCCCCAGAGAGCCTGCTCATCTCTTGTCTATTTTCTACCCTAAATGCCCAGAATCCCTGGGGAGCAACCTGGATGGCCTTGCTCAGAAGGAGCAGTAGGGAACCCAGTCTCCCTTCCCCTCTCCTCCTGCCTGCTCCTCCTCTTCCTCCTCTTCTTCCTCCTCCTCTGCCAGCTCCTCCCCCTGCCCACACTTCCTCTGTCTCTCCCTAAGTGAGTCAGCAGGGAGCTCACAGCCCATTGCAATCCCTTAGTCTAGCCACCCTCATCTTCCAGCATGATCCATGCTTGAGGCCTCCTCTGCACTCAGTGGAGGTCCTGCCCACCTTTACCCTGACCCCGCTGTACCTACAGAGTCAGACCAAGTTCCTTCTCACCCTTGGCCTACCTTCTATTGCTGCTGGCTCCAGAACTGATGCTCCAAGTACTTTTGAGTGCCCCCCCTTCCCATGGGCCTGTCATAGCAGGGGGCAGTGTTGGGAGGGGCTTGACGCTCATAGGCAGGATGGGGGTGAGGGGCCACACTCAAGGCCCAGCCTTACCATGGACCATGGCAGCTCATCTGTTAGTGGCTTCCACCCTGGGCTCCTTCAGAGAAGCGGCTAGAACTTCTCTCATGCTCTCTGCAGAGTTTGGGTGTCCAAGGCCCACAACTGAGGCTGCAGCCCCTCGCCCTAGGTCTGAGCCCCACCACACTGCCTTTCTACCCAAAGGTCCAGCCTTAGGGAGGCTCCACTCCATGCCTTAAAGTCAATTCCAGTTGTATGACCACTGTGACCAGCTTCTTCTCCTCAGCCTTTCATGAGGTCACCCAGGCTTCTGGGATATGGACAGAGCCTGGAGCGGCTGTGCCTAGCTAGAGCACTGTGTCCAGGAAGTACTGACAGGCAGTTGGGGAGGAACATTTCAGGTCCCTTTGACCACTCCCTCTGTCCCCAAGTCTCAGCCTTTGGGTATTTGAGACAGAGAGGACATAAGCAATGAGCTTCTTTGTGGTGGGCTCCTGCTGGGATGCAGACAATGGCTAGGGTGTAGAGCAAGTCTAGATGCAGCGATATGGCAGAGCACGGCTTAGAGGACAGACAAACCAGGAGAGGGACAGGAGTCAGAGCGAATGGGGCACGAGGAGTAAGGGGAGCTTGGGAACTGGGGCCTGAGAGCCGTGACAGGACCAGGCCCCTCCTGCCTCCCTCCCCCAGCTTCTGCAGGGATAACCGGGCCTAACCAACTCGGCTCTGCTCAGGGACTTCCAGGCTCCAGGGCTCCACCACTGACTCAGCTTGGCTCCTAACAGCTCATAAATATTCATTTAAAAATTAAAGCTCCATTAAAGAGCTAACTGGTTGCTGATATTTGCAAATTATTTTTGTGCAAAAAAGATTTAGTGGTAGAGGATGAAGTCCAAGAAGCAGATCAAAGGCAGTGAAGAGAGAGGGGCCCCCTCACATGGTATCTGGGGCCAGAGCACAAAAGCAGGTCTTTGTGTTGCCGCTCAGGTGGCTGGGGTGCTTTTCTTGTACCTGGAGGCAAATTGTGAGATGTTGAGGTGACACCTTCTGGTGTTGGCAACCCCAGGCCCTTGAGTGCTCAAGACTCACAGATAAGTCTAGCAGACCCAGAGGCATACAGATCAAACCCTAAGACCCGAGGCCCTCTTGCTCCAGG